GTTTGATGCAAAATAATCAGAATTATTCACAGTGATGTGGATAAGAACCAGACGTCTGAAGCACTTAATGCCTCTAAAAACTCCCTCACAAAAAACATTAACACTAACTAGTTTTGAATATTTTGTTTTACATTTTTGAGAAGGTTTTTGCCTAAAACATAATTTTTAGGAATACAATCATGATGGAATGGTACATTCAGTGTGTTGAGGTAAATTAGTCCACAAAGAAAACTCTCAAAAGTCTCAAATACCGACTTCTATATAAAGCTGAAATAGAAAGCTGCAGTGCACTTCATAGTACATTTGGCATCTCTTGGATTGTGCTATTCTTCTCTCTTTGGACTAAAATAAAATACTGAAGTTTGAAAGTGAGAGGTGCACATCAGCACAGATGCTGCCAAAACCGCTGTTAATTAAATTAACCTGAAAAACATTTGGAGATAACTGTAAATAACTGAACTGGACCTGTGGGAAGGTAGAATCATCTTCACATAAATACTACATAGAATTAACAACGTTATTTAAAGACAAAGTGCTTGAGAGTGAAAAACAATAGAAGCTAAAAATGTTAAAAAGCACAATTAAAAGAACAAAGTACATAAAGCAGAATAAGAATATAAAAAGAAAAGTTAAAACAAACGATGCAGTAAGAATGGAGTGAGAGATTTAGTGCATTACTAAACTTTCTAAAACATGTTGATGTGTTTGGTTCTGCTCCAGGTCCTCGCAGCTACCTCAGCTCCACCATGTCAGACCGCACTGACTGCTTCTACTGCAGAGACAACCTGCAGGGCAAGAAGTATGTCAAGAAAGATGATAAGCCTGTGTGTGTGCGCTGCTTCGAAAAGCTGTGCGCCAACACCTGTGCAGAATGCCGTAAACCAATCGGTGCTGATGCCAAGGTGAACATTCCCCCTCCTACTTTACTGCAGCTACTACTCTTTAATTCACCTTAATTAACCTCTTGAGTTCTATTATTTTCATTATTTTCTTTCATTGCCTTTTAATACTATGTAGAACCAGCACTTTATTGATTTTCTTCATTAGTCTTATTTTGTGAAATGCTGAATATACTTGTGATTACATTTCTAATGACGAACTCCCCCCCCCCGCCCTTTAATAGTTCTCTGCATGGTGAAATGGTTCTTTAGACTAATGGACAATATGTTGTGTATGGTTCTATATAGCACCAAAAAGGGTGCTTCTATTGTTACAAGCTGTTACAAGAACCATGTACAACACATTCTCCATTAACGTGAAGAACCATTTCACCATGCAAAGAACCATTTAAGCATGAAATTGTTCTATATAGAACCATTCCCTTTACTAAAGATCCCTTAAAAAACATCTTTTTATGAGTAACTTTACCTGTGAGCCAAAATTTGGTTTAATATTTTAAGGTGCATTCAAACATAATAGTCTAAAGTTATGTGTGATTCAATTTCCAATATTTATTAAAAAACACTTAGTGAAAGGAATGTCAGTTGTCATCATCACTGCCTTTTCCTTATCAATCAAAGTTCAACGGTTCTATTCACGATACTTTTATTTTGAGCCAAAGTTTAATATAATAGTTAAAGCTGCATGATGCAGTAAATTTAACCAGTACTGCTGGGATAAGCTGTCCTCCTTCTCTGTTCAGGAGCTGACCCATAAGAACCGCCACTGGCATGAGGACTGCTTTCGCTGCGCTAAGTGCTACAAGCCACTGGCCAATGAACCCTTTGCAGCTAGAGATGACGGCAAGATCATGTGTGGGAAGTGCGGTGCACGTGAGGACTCGCACCGCTGCCAGGGCTGCTACAAAGTCATCGTGCCAGGTGTGGGATCCCACTCAGAGTCTAACTAACACTGTGTAGTGTGCCAAGGACAACACACTTCTTCTCATTAGGGATGCACAGATGATGGAATCGTGGGCTGAAGCAGATAGCTGATATTTTCCATGTAGATTCCTGATGATGCAGATACATTTACAGAATGTAGAAATTGTGACTTGATCCACCTGGATTAGCATCACATATGAATATAAAAATACCTATAAAGGGTGAAAGATTTAGTAAAATAAATGAAATGGAGACATTTTAGCACAGTAGCCCAAGTGTAGCAGACTAGTCACCTAAACATTGCTTATCTGTACAACTTAAATATCAGTTTAAAATATCAGTCAAATCTAAACATCTGTCCATTTTTAAGCAAATATGTGCCCAATATGATTCAGATATCATAGTGCACCCCTATTCTACACACAATTTGAAACTAGTATTCAAGTGAATGTATACATTTTCTGAAAGACAGCAGTTAGTTGCCCCTATTGTGAACACTTGGGTACATCAAAAACGTACATATACGTACATACTACGAGTGCCTGCTTGCTTTGTTTAGCAACACCAGACATTTTGGAGGAATTGTTATTTTAATGACAGCTCCTGGATTCTCTTCTTTCTTCAGGGGAAAAAAGTGTGGAGTATAAGCATAAGTCTTGGCATGAGCAGTGCTTTACCTGCTTTGAATGCAAACAGCCAATCAGCTCTCAGAGCTTCCTGACCAAGGGTGATGATTTCTACTGCTCCTCATGCCATGAGAAGAAGTTTGCCAAGAACTGTGCCCGCTGCAAGGAGGTGACTACAGTGGCAAACACACACATAGGACAGAAACCCAAAACTGAATGCTTGTAATGAATAGCAGTTAGCAATATTCCACACTAATGTTACACACTGACATAGATTTCTGTGACTTACTGTCACAGAAAAAATACCATAATATACAGTACTGCGCAAAAGTCAGAACCCACCCTTAATTTGTTTAATTTCCAGTCAAACTGACCATAAAGTACAAAAAGCAGAAAACATATATTTAACAAAAATTACACAGAAGCCTCAACAACTAAATATAATGTCCAATTTAGTGTGTCTACCCTTTGCCTTTATTACAGCTTCAGTTCTTTTCAGAAAACTTGCTTTCAGTTTTTCAAAGAAATCTACAGGGATATTTTTTACATCTTCAAAGTTTAGTCTTAGAAGTTAGTTGCATTTCCTTCTTCTAACAATCCAAGTAATCCAAACACATTCAGTGATGTTGAAGTCTGGACTTGGGGGCAGCCAGTCAATTGCTCTGAGAACATCAGCAGCTTCTTTGTTTGATTTGTAATTTTTCCTTCTTTTTTCATCTATTTCCTTTTCTTGGTAACAGCTTCTTGACAGCTACTCATCCTTTCAGACTCATAGTGCAGCGTTGTCTTCTCACAGTGGAAGGAAGGACAGAAACACCTTTGGATTTTTTCAGATCTGAAGGAAATGTGGGGCTAATTTTCTCTAGAAGATGAAAGCTTTAGGTACTGTTGATCTGATGGTGACAGTTTTAGTGGTCTACCAGCACTTGCATGGCTGTTGGGACTTAGATAACTTTTTATAATTGTTTCAACTCTCAACGTTTTGCAAATCCTATGTTGTTTAAATATTATTTTCCATTGACTTTCTCTGTCCTTGTGAAAGTGGATTATCTAATATTTAACCTGTTTAGAAATATCTCCTGAGAAATGAATTACACATACTTAATAGCTGTTCTGACTGGAAATTAAATAAATGAAGGGTCTCTAACTTTTGCACAGTACTCTAGAGCAGTGATCCTAAATCATAGGCTAGGATTGAGAAGTATATTGAAGGTTAGCTGAAGTTCTGTCCTTTTCTCCAATTAACAATGAGTTAGCCTGATTTTCTCGTCCACTGCTTGTATTATTTGAATCCTTTCTAGCCCATCACCTCTGGTGGGATCAACTATCAGGACAAGCCTTGGCACTCTGAATGCTTTGCGTGCCACACCTGTAAGAAGCCCTTGGCTGGTGCTCGCTTCACTGCTCATGAGGATGAGTTCTACTGCATGGATTGCTACAAGACCTCTGTGGCCAAGAAATGCTCTGGATGTCAAAATCCCATCACAGGTCAATATGTGAACTTACCTGTATTCTACATTAGCTGTTTTTTAAGATAATTCATACTAATGCTTTACTTTAGTGGATTCACAACTGGAGCAGATTTTTAAAAGGATGCAAGGGCACGAGTTTAAGCTGTGCTTAACATTTACTGAGAAGCTCCTTGTCCTTCTGATCTTCCAGGGTTTGGCAGAGGGACCAATGTGGTGAACTACGAGGACAAAACCTGGCATGAATACTGCTTCAACTGCAAGAAGTGCTCTCTGTCCCTGGCCCACAAGCGCTTTGTCATTAACGGAGAGCACATCTACTGCACTGACTGTGCCAAAAAGTTGTGAGGGCTAGAAAAATGGGGTCCCCACTGATTTCACTTTAGAAGAATGTTTTCAATCCAAGCTCTAACTGTGCTAATAATTAAGCAAATAGCCACAGCATTAACACAATGCAAATGACTACTAGCTTTGAATCACTGTTAACCGTTTATCAGTATTTCTGATTTATTCATTTGCAGAATGGTTATGTAGACATATCAAATACACAAACTTATCGGTGAGCGAAAAAAAGGAAGTGTTAAGAAAGGGTTAATTTCTTTGCTTTTAGTTATGAGCTCAATCACAGGCTGAAATTGTATTTTTGTAAGCAGAAAAATAGTGAGTGGTGTGGAATGAATAAATACACTTTTATAGTCAGTTATAAGCAACTTAACAGCAACAGATGGGTGCTTCTGGTGGCCAGCAATACTAAAATATATATCTGTTTTTCAATTTAGGACAAGCTCAAGTTTGAAATGTGTGAAATCATACCAAGACAGGCCTTACTGGAAAATTTCTTGTCCTGATTTTTTTTTTTTTTCCCCAGTTTCATGTTGCTTTGTGAAAATGTACTTTGCTTGTTTCACATCATTAACACACCTGAGCATTATCTTTGACATTATGGCATTGTGTGGCCTACATTTAACACGGGAGCCTTGGCATGTCAATATATACTTTGTCTATTGAATTCTGAGTGAAGTAAAAAATCATAGAAGTTTCAAACTTTTGACTACATGTTTTACATGAATCACACAACTACACTAGGTAATCATGACTTTGCGCCAAACGGCATTTATTTCTTTTCTCTTGCAAAAAAAACTTTATTTTAACAGTACTTATCTTTTTTCCAGTACACTTTGGATGTATTTACAAATATAATTTGGGCTAATTCAAGATGTCAAAAAAAGAAGGAAAAAAACAAACAAACAAAAAAAAACCCATTAGATCCTGTTCAGGGCCTTGGTCAAGTAAAATGATTGTCATGGCCAAAGTAAGCACGTGTAACATGTTTAGTTATTAATATATGAAAATAAATATATAGCCTACTCTGAATCTAAGGCACTGTTCTATTCTACCAGCACTGCGAGTACTATAAGCTAGAGAACAGTTCTAAAGCCCAAAACGCAAAGGGTGTAAAGGGAAGCAGCAACAGCACTGGCGTGACCCGGTCTGTGCACACGACCAACCACACTGACAAACAGCTGACTGATCGGGTCTGTAGCAGCCACAGTGTGTCCTCAAAGCACTTTGGGGCATCTAATATATATATATATTTTTTTTTCTGCAAGCAAAGAGCTGTTAAGAATGGTTTGCTGAAAAGCCAAAACAAAGAATGAAGGATTTACAACCTCCTTTACATACTAAGCACAAGCACAGTAAAGTATGGGTTAGTCTTTTTCTTGCCTGAGTGTCAGCTGCACCACTGAACTTCTGGACAGTTTTTGGGTCACAACCTGAAGTTTTACACAGTGCTAGTGTCTCCTGTCCTTAACAAACGACAAACAATTTGAAACAAATAGGATGGATTTTCATGCTTTAAGCTTTGGAGTAAGTGGTCCCTTACTAGTGGAGATGTTATCTAAGAAAAGATACTAATTAGCCTGTGCTTAGTGGCCTTCTTTCTGAATGGTCTATAATAAGATAAAAGCTCAATACATACACAACAACCAAGATCTTGACCTTTAACCATCTCTATTGGACAGACCAAGGTTTTGCTTGAAATGTCCAGATTACTGCCAACAGCGCTATAAAACAGACAGAAGAACTGTTCAAACAGTAAATTTCCTATCTACAAAACTAGCCCTGAGCAAACTCTCCATGCACATCCCTATTAAAGTCACCACCAGTATCCGCAAACAAGGCCCATATGCTTCATTTTATCTAATTACAAGAGGCCTATCCTATTCATATCAACCTTACAGCAGCAACGAAGCATCTTTAACCAAACATAACTTGCATATGCCCTCTAGCCACATACATGTTTCATATTCGTTCTGTTAAAAACAAGTGTCACTCAAAGGGAAGGATCAGAGGCTGCTGTGTCAGGTAGAGGGTGTTGTCTTGTGGTGAAACCTCTGAGTGTTCTGAGGCTAAACCATGTACCGGATGAAGACAATCCAAAAACTTCCTTTTCCCTCTATTCCCCAACCCAACATAGCGTAACAGCCTAATACTGATTATGTACATAATACTTACATATGTAGAAATGTTTTTAAATATATAAATTTAGTAGCACAGTTGCAGAGTAATTCAAATAATTTGCAAGAAGACTGAAGTAGCTGGTGAGCTCTGGACCAATGTATGGATGGATAGAGGAGAAAAACAAACAGCAAAGACCAACATTAAACAGTACTCTCCAAAACACATTAGGACCTGATGAAACTGTCTGACCCTGTGGGAACTTAGGGCCTTCAGGAACGCTTCCAATAATTCAAGCTTGGATAATGGAATCTCCTTTGTCTAAAACTTTTAGTGGAAAAAAAAAAAACTCATCTGAATGTGCAATTATTAAAAAGAGGTTACAGTAATTCTTTTGTGTGCTAGAATTATTTGCTGTAGTACAGATTCATGCTGACATCCAAAGTTGTACTGTAGTTCCAGGATGCACTTAAATTAGGTTTTATATGAGTAACTAACCATGTTTTACGTTTATGTACATGTAAAAGAAAATGTCAACAACATAGGGCAACGATTATAAACCTGAAACTCACAACATTGAAACTTCAACTAGTCACAAGTGCTCACAAGATTATTTGCCTTGAGCTCCTTCATCCTTTAAAGCCCAAAGGAATTGGCAAATCTTTCAGCTGAGTTTGAAATTCAGCTGTGGCTTTAAGAAGCCCCTCACCTGTCACACAAGAACTTTTTCTGAAATATCTTGACCAAGATTTGCTATCTACAAACTTTATACAAGGAATGCTTCACAGCAACAGAAAGGACAATTAGAAACACATAGCCAGTTGGCCTGGGTCATCACATTAGATTTCACAGAAGCTGGAAAAAACAAGCAAAGTTCTATGCGCAGAGGGTGGATACATTTCTGTACTGTAAGCTCAGCAGAAAACTGACTGCTAAAGCGGTTAATTCCATTGTAGTCACATTCTTGAACACTACTCACAACTCACGCGTAGACTTTAAAACGTTCTTCCGAGATGTCTGGAAGACGTCTTTCATCTTTGACTCGGCAGCTTCACTTCACATTAATTATTCATTACTGTTTGATATCGACTGACCTTATTCACAATTTTGCTATGTTTTAAAGCAAACTTGTTCATATCCTTAAATTCACTGACTTTTTTTCAGTGAATTCATTAATGGCAAATTTGTGAATTTAACAAAATCTAATACAGAAAATAACCCAAAAGAAGTGAAAGGTAATAAAATGAATGAAGAATAAATTACAATAGAATTGCCCTACATTAAAAAATAACAGTAATGACAAAGAGCCAAACAAAACATTGTAAAAAAAAAAAAACAAAAACAAAAAACTGACGAGACAGAAACAATACGAAGAAAGGGAGGCAGAAAATATGAGTAATAAGCACAATGACAGAATACACTTTCCCTGAAGCGTTTTTCATATTTCCTGTTTTCTTTCTTTTTTTGTTTATTTTTTTGATCCACAAATCTTGGAGGCGCAGAGGCTAAGGCCTTTTTCTGCAGCTCTGAGCTTCTCTTGCTGTCGAGATGAGGCTGAGTACAAGAGACTTTGGAGCTCAACTGGACATGCTTCATGGAGTGCAATTAACAACTGGCCCTGGGCGAAGATGTCAACTCATATCTCTGCAGGGAAAGAGCGAAACAGAAAGGAGAGAGAGTTTGAAAGAGCAGGGAAACAGTATCAGTAGAACAGAGAGAGAATTGAGTCAATTCTAAACCAGTACAGTAAACATTATCCTTTCCGTTACACAACATAATTGGTAGCTAAAAGTAAACAAAGGCATGTCTGGTGTCCAAAGCTTGCATCTATAGTTTTATGCTGATGCTACCCAATTGGAAGCTAATACATGACCAAACAGCATCAGGAAAGCTGCACACCTAAATCACTTGCCTCAAACCACATGAAGCTGTTAAGCAATCTCAGATAGACTTGCTCATGCTTATGTGATTTCTGATAGTATTACACTGTTACCTATTAAACACAGACAATAGTATATACAAAATTCAGTCTTCAAGATGCCTGCTACTACTAGTTTTAGCTATATGCCATGCTTTTGTCCATTTGTCCATTCCAGAGTATGTGAGTGGTAAAGTCACAGCATTGATGCTCCCCATCACTTTCAAATCACTCCAACACTGAAGTAGAGCTGGAGCAGAGTGATTACAAAACCTGAAGCACTGAACAAGGAACAGAAATGTTGGCTGCTCCACTCCACTTATACACTCTGGACCAAACCAGTTTACTTGCTAGCTTCATTAGCTTTGGAACTCCAGCACAAAACTAAAAAGCAAACTTGTTTTGGCTGATGGACTGCATTTAGTCTAAGTATAAATAAGATTTTTGCCAGACTATCGCTTTAATGTATTGCTAATTCCTCACCAGACAGGGCTTCAACGGGCTGAGGTGGATGGAGGGACTTGTCTTCAAAGGCCACTCTGGGACCCTCAGGTCCCCCGTCACAGTCTATTAGGCCCTGGTTACAGCCCTCAGGTTCCATGAGTGGTCGGCCTTTAGGATGAACCCCCAGATCAATAAACTCCTCAAAGCTCCATGGCCCAGCTTTCCCATTCAGTCCCAGCTTAGAGTCCTCATTCACAAACTCGGAGCCCTCCACTAGACGCATCTTTGTACAGGAATTACTAAAGGAGACAAATCAAATCATTAATAAGACCTGGTGATAAGTGGCAAACGTGTGTTAGCTAGAACATTTTTAAATTCTAGAATATCATGACAAGCTATGCAGGAGAAAGGTGTTAAGAAAGAAAAATGGGTAGTGCAGAAGAAATAGGACAGGCCTATTTTGTACCTAATGGCAGGGGGCTCTGCTGCACTCGGGCCATTATTGTTCTCCTTGTTGTCTGCTTCATTCTGTCCATTCACACTGCCAAGCGGGTCTTCCCGCTCCACAGGGCTTTCCTGTGAGGACAAACCTTGTTCCTCGATATCTATTTGGTCTTCTACCTCTACACTTTGCTCCAATTGGACAGACTGTTCCCCTGAAATTTGACAAGTGAGGTCCAGTCAGATGCATAAAAAGTTTAGTGAATTACATTAATATACAAAATGCATTAAATTTATCATAAGGTTCAGATAAACCATCAAGACTGACCCTTATATTCACAGTCTATCTGGTCAGGAACCTCATCACCATTCTCATCGGGCATGCTTTTCTCATCATTGTTCTAGAGGAAAGAGGAGGAGAAACTGAATGTCAACTCACTGCAAAGTCCATGATAGCCACAACCCTTGATACTGTACAAACCGAACCACTCTTAACAGCCTTGCCTTGAAATTTATTTGGTCCGTTTTTCTGGTTCTCTTCATAATTTCTTCAATTCTCTGAAATCACAGAGAGAGAGAGAGAGAGAAAGAGAGAGAGAGAGAGAGAGAGAGAGAGAGAGAGAGAGAGAGATTAAACAGTTTTTGACTTATTCCAAAACACACTGCAATTAAAATACAGGTACATAAAAAAACTACCAAGATAAGGAAATATCACTAATTTATCTACAGGTAATGATGAAAATCTTTAAGCCTTTTGCTGTGTTCAGATCGGAATATTAGAATGAAATAATATGTGAGTGCTTCTACTGATATTTAAATGAATCAAGGTATTCCTGTAATCCATCTAAATAAAAGATTTTGACACAATAATGTAGAGCAATCTTTAACAATGCCCCTTCACTGATTTACTACTGCATTTTTGCAAGGCATATCATAATTGCAACATGTAGCAACATAATTACAACACTATTATTTTGTGCATATTGTGCAGCCCCAGTCAGATATAGAATCGGGATGTGAAATAGGGTCTACAACTTGGTCAACAAATGTTTATCTATATGCTCTGCATGCTGACTAATGTTATTTGTGCATTTGAGTGATGGTACATCAGCTGGGAAGAGAGATTGTGTTTCAAAGGTACCTTCTTCCTCTCCATGCGCTCCTGCTGGTTCTGTTGCATGATGCGCTCTCTTTCTTGACGCTGTTTCTCAGCCTCCTCTTGGGCCTTCGCTTCTGCCTTCTCACGCTGTAATTGGGCAGGCAATCAGTCACTCAATCAAATCTACCAATCATTAAGTCCAAAGTTTGCAATCTCAATGCTGCATGCTGTATGGATTCTGACTCACCTCTTTCTGTAGCTCAGCCTGTTTCTGCTGCTCCTCCAGCTCCAGTCTCTGCCTTTCCTCCTCTGCTTTAAGAGCCTGCTCCTCCTCTTCCCTCTTTTTCTCCTCTGCCCGAAGCTTCTCTTCTTCCAAGTGCCTCACTCTCTCCTCCTCAGCTAGACGCTCCTGCTCCTCCTTTTTCAGCCTGTAAGACAGAAATTTGTCTTCAAAGCTGCAGCTCACACTGTAGAAATCCTGAACTAAGATGTTTACCCTTCCCTAAAAAACAACTGATAACGGGACATTCCACTGAAATTCTCCTCTTTAGTGTTTATAAAGATTATGGAGGTCAGTCAATCTCACCTTATGTGGATGAAGACTACTGTTGGACATGAAAGGAGGTGCTTTTATTGAGAAGAAACTAACTAAGACTAAAGTATTCACTAAGCACTGCAGACACTTCCCAATACAACATAAAAGAATGTTTAAAACAATGTGGTTCTCCATGCTCACCTCTCCTCTTCCTCTCTCTGTACCCGGAGCTGTTCCTCTCTCTCTTTCTGTTCCCGGGCCAGACGCCGGTTCTCTGCCAAGATTTTAGCAGCCTCAGCAGCTGAGTTAGTGCCGGCCATGGCTTTCGAACTGGGATCTGAAAAAGCCCCAATATACTGAGTTATTCTAACAAGCAAACAGAGAATGCAATGTGCAGACCTCCATTCCGTCATGTAGAAAACATGGGGCCTTAACTTGGGGCACATTAGATCAATTTTATAAGCAACTGTTCATGATTTCACAGTAACATCAAGCCACAGCCTGAGCTGAAGCTGATTCTAAGCAGGCAGCGCAAAAGCTCCAGCAGAGGGCGTAGTACGTCCAGTGTCTGCTCTGATTATACAGGAAGTGGAACTGAACTCGCTGCTCCTGGCCGTGCTTGACCTTGCTGGTGCAATACAGCAAGGCTGTATTGAAGGATGTCTTTGTTTTGGTTTTATGGTATATGGTTTCTCTACTTTTCCCCCTCAACGCTTGAAAATGCTCAGCACAACAGTGACAAAAGGCACTAAAAGACAGGCTGAGTGAATTGACACATACAGAAACAGCTGCAGCACTTTCTCTAATTCTTAAACTGAAAACAAACAAACTGGCATCACCACCCAACTGAACATGATCTGTTGTCACTGTTTGGCAACATTTGAAATTGATAGTTCAGCAACCCAAAAACTGCCAGGCATCCTAAAGAACCACAAACATTAAACGACGAGTAGGGCTGAAAGATCAACAGTTTTTTTTAATCAAAAGCGCAATCTGAAGGAGTGCCGTTTTCAAATTGCAAGGGCTGTAATTTTTATTATAGTCTTACAGTGTATTATCAAAAACACTGATACGATGCACGTTTTAAGCAGGGAAATTTACCTAATAACATGGAGCTTGTGAATTGATGAGACATCACAACAACAAATAACTAGCAGGCTGGTGCACAGTGTTAACAGTTCAAGTCTCAAGCCAAAAAAAACAATTACGCTAGTCTTCTCAAAAAAGGCCCATACCTCAATTTATACCTCAATTATAAACAATTGCAATTTAAATCCTAATCGCAGTATTGGTCAGAAAAACTGCAATTAGATATTTTGCCAAAATCGTTCATCCCTAACGACGAGTGATAATCTGAAAATCTCAATGAACTAAAAAGGGCCCTTTACAGACTCTTCACACCAAACTTCTGTGATTCTCAATACTAGTTGTAGAAACCCACCTAAGACACCTTACTCAGCTTATGGAAGGCTTCACAATTACCCGAATTAACTGACTGTCTGTTGAAATAGGGACAACACAAGCCTGCAGAGCTTGGAATTAGAAGCACTGCAATACATATTTACTGATTACACAGAATGCATGTACTCAGTGTGAGCTGTCAGTTCTCACCGTCTTTGGGCTTGGTGCTGGGGGGAGGGCTGGCAGCGCTGGTCTCTTGAGGTTGGGGGGTAAGAGGCATCATAGGGGACATGTCTTTTGGCTTGGACTCCCTTTTGCGGAGAACAGGAGGGCCGGTGGGTGTGAGTGCAGGCTTCTGTATGGGAGGAGGTTTAGAGGCAGCGGTGGGCTGAGGTGATGGAGGACGCTGCTTCATCCCACTGGGGGAGGGAGGCCGATTGCGAGGACTTGACCTGGATGAAATACACACAAGGGCACAGAGAAAAGGCATAAGCATGATGTGAAAGAAAAGCTAGAGCAGTATGTGTAATATACACACACACACATACATATATATATTTTTTATTATATATATATATATATATATATATATATATATATATATATATATATATATATATATATATATATATATACACACACACACACATATATATATAAATATATATTCTGTTTTTGCTAATTTGTCACATCATCTGACTAATTTTAATATAAGATAAAGACAACAGGAGTAAATACAAAATGTAGCTTTTAAATGATCATTCCATTTACTGAAGATTTATTTAAAACCTATATCACTCATGTGAAAAAGTCATTGCCCCCCTAAACCTAATAACTGTTTGTGCCAACCTTGGCAGTAACAACTGCAATCAAACTTTTGCGATGACTTGCGATGAGTCTCTTACATCGCTGTGGAGGAGTTCTAGCTAACTCTTCTTTGCAGAATTGTTTTAATTTTTCTGATAGAGACCAGAATTCATGGTTCCATCAATTATGACAAGTCGACCAGATCCTGCAGAAGCAAAGCAGCCCCAGACCATCACACAACCACCGCCATGTTTGACTGTTGGTAAGATGTTCGTATGGTGGAAAATGGTAATAGCTTTTTACCCCAGATGTAACCAGAGCCATTCTAAAACGTTTCACCTTTGACTCATTAGTCCATAACAGCCTGTGTGTTCTTGCAACTCTCCCATGGATGTATATAAATATATATAAATATATATATATATATATATATATATAAATATATATATATATAAAAATCAATCATGTGTTACTAGGCTCTTACTTTGCCGCTCCAGGGGAGGGTGCTCTCTTGGTGGTGCTGGTGTCGGACAGGCCTGGGGATGGGGAGCGATGGCGACTGGGGGCGGCTGAAGGTGAAGAAGGACGTTTCCCTCCTGGTGAAGTGAAACGCTTGTCCTTCTCAGCTTTCTGCTTACACATGCAGACATAAATAGATACAATTAAAAGAGACAAAGGAGATAAGACAGAACCAGAACAGATTGTTTAGAAGACCTTGGGGATAAAGAATATTTATGTAATACATGACTGTTCACATTGGAATATTGCTCCTCAAAATGATTCAAGGTAATTTATAACACTAATACCTGTTTGTGTTACTTTTCAGTACATGAGGTGAATTAACAAACAACTGCTGCTTAATTTGTGGTAGTACCAAACAATTTCTCTGTTCAGTGTTTTAATGCAGCAGAGAATTTTAATGCAGTCAAGCTCAAGGTGGCTGTCCAAGACCTATCTATTTATATTGCACAGCTCACGTGCTGCCAGGGTCGCTCAAATGGCAATGGGTCAAAGGGAGGTAGATTACAGCCATTCACAGGTTCTAATAGGAATGTTTCTCCATAGCTATTGTCATTTGGTTAGCTAAAATAACTGCCTCAAGTACAATTTTAATTCTAAATAATTTTCCCTCAACACAAGCCGAAGTGAAAGTGATGGAAAATGAAAATAGATATTCTTTAAATCAAGCATAAGTGATCATTCTCCATCGCATCTTTACTGTAGGTTTTCCTAAATACACGCCCATATTGCGTCAGTCTTTATTAAAAGTAGGCAAGGACTACGTATTAGCCGTGTGTCAGACTGAATCAGTGAAGTAGCCATTTCTTAAGGCTACAGTGATCACAATTTCACTTCCACTTCCTCACAGGCCATCTCACTGTAACTGTGCATTAGCACTTTAGAGAGTGGGCAGTGAGTCAACTGATAATTCTCCTGAGATGGCTGGATAAACGAGGTCAGGAGAGCCTCAAGAGAGTATAAGATTTTCTTTGTTATTGGGGAACTGACTGGGAAGTGCACATATGCTCAGTGCTTCCCTTTCACTATACTGCTCTAAAACAGAGATGAGCAATATGATATTTTATCACTACCATAATAAATGTTATTATGATACATGTGAATACATTTCTGAGCATATTGTGGATACTGTCACTTAAAGAACACTGACTGACAATGTTTCATTACAAAGAGTGCAGAATCAGTCCTGTTTCATTTAAATGAGTGGAGTACTCTGTGACTCGTGTGTCATGACTGTATCATGAAAATGCCTGAGGATCATGATATGCTATTTCTGCCATATCGTTCACCCCTACTTTGAAATAAATCAAAGTTAAATTATCTGGTAAAATGGTGGGAAACTACTCACAGAGGAAATCTGACAGACAATTTCATAACCCAAGTTTTTGGTAATCTTGCTGTGGTCTGGATTCATGGCATCAGCAGTAGTGTGACCTGTCCAGTTTTGCATTCAGCTAGCGGTTCCTGCTTTATCCATTGATGATTGTCTGGCTATCATCTGGACAATGGCCCACTTTGTCCGTTCAGGCCAGCGCGGTCTCAGCCTATCATCACGACATCTGCATCCATGCAGTCGCTTAATTTGGTGCATGCACTTTTTCATCCAGATGTAATTTCATTTTTATTCTGGAAGTCTGACATTTAATTTTGCTACATTTTTGAAACAGTTTGTAATTTAATGAGACTTAGTATTGTTCTGTTGAGGTAGGCAGCATTTGTGTGTGTAAATTCATGAAGGTCATGCATATCAGAGAGCAAAGAGAGACCTCTTAATGTTTCCTCGGCCTGTCAGAGCACGCTCCAGCTGCTATCAGATAGAGCCAGTCAGAAAGGACAGCATCCAGCACCACGATTAGCATCAGAGCTGAATGACCTGGCTGCTTTGCAAAGCAAATCAAAGTGGATGTGTGCACATGAAGTTCTGCTATCAGAGTGTATTATTTTAAGGTATTTCATTCCAGGTAGAATGGGAACGATAACTCTCTTGCCTTTAATCCGTTAGTTCCTTTAACCTCATCCGGCTTATGAGATAACCTCATATGGCTTCTTCAGTGTTCAGCACACTTAGTCAGTCCCATATGATCCTCATTTATCTGGATCTAAGCATTAATAAAAAAGTGTATGGCCTTAAGACATCAGAGTGAATGGAATGCCTGGGGCCCATGCTATCATTAGGCCTCCATACCTAACCTAACTGGAATGTACATGACAACCAGGCTTACTATTTGAGTTGCAAAAAAGGCTGTGTCATGAATAGGGAGTATTATAATGACACACCTACAGGTGTCTATTTTTGTCAGAGGCAGAAGAGTATTTAAAAATTCTCTGGGCTGATATGCTGTCAATGAAAAAGCCATTTTTGCATGCGAGCATAAACATTCAAAAACATGGAGTTAGGTTTGTGTGAACGTCTTACTGGAAAGAAAACCAAAAGATTAGTCTTCAGCTCAACCGCCATGGTTCAACCATGAATCAACCATCATCAATCTAAAGCATTATTCAAGCTGAATTAGTTTTACCAAGAGAGGTTTTGTAAGGGATTTGACTGTATAGAGAGCCCAGATGTTCACATCAGCAAAAGGTGTGATAATAAACAAAATGACGCATGACTTTGTCTATCAGTTGTTCTTGTTATTCCATTAGCAGAAACACTGGTTTTATTACTGTCAGACCTGCAAAAACTACAAACATTACAGCACTTCCCCAAGTAAAACTAATTCAGTTTGAATAGGGCTTAATACAAGCAAACATTTATGTCACATTGCTGCCCACTCACCTGAGTCATGCTTGAGATGGCGTCAGCTGAAGCGGAGTTTGGGGGGCCTTTCTGGCGGTCGGTGCTGCGGCTACGCAAGGGTCCGCGGGGTATGGGCTGCAGCGGGCTGGCCGACACTGAGCGAGGACACAGGTGAGACTCTGGTAAAGGATACGGTCAGCGGAGCACAGGACGGGCAGAGCAGGGAGAGGAAGCCACAAGCAGTGGGGTCAGTGGGGTGAGCAAGGCAGAAGGGCAGAGAGAGTAAGGTAGAAAAGAGGCAAGAAGGAAAGAAAGGATGGGGATGATAAGAGCACAAAACAGTTTACAAGGTGTTAGATTTCTGACTGGATGAGGGTTTGTTGCTTTGCTGATTCAGGAGTGAGCAATGATGGGCTTGGGAGGCTGAGGCTGGATGTGTATGAGAGAGAGAGAGAGAGAGAGAGAGAGAGAGAGAGAGAGAAAGAGAGAGAGAGAGAGAGAGAGAGAGAGAGAGAGAGAGACAGACAGACAGACAGACAGAGAGACAGACAGACAGACAGACAGACAGACAGAGAGAGAGAGAGAGAGAGAGAGACAGACAGAGAGAGAGAGAGACAGAGAGAGAGAGAGAGAGAGAGAGACAGACAGAGAGATATGCGGGATTTCCATTCAAACCTTTTTGCAAATTTAGGTGAAGTTTCCATCAACTACCGTTTTACACAAATTCCTGAAGATCACATACCATACTTGTGCCATAAGCTGCAAGACAAGCGCTCACCGTGCACAGCGTATACACTCATGATTCAAACCTTTATTAACTTAGGATACAGCAGTTTTGACCTCTGTCAACTGTACATGGCTGTAGCCCTGACAGTTTAGAGATACTGGGTGAAGTGGGCAGTGGCCCATTTAACTAACTAGGGCTGAAGAGTCACTGTCCCAACTCATTTGCACTCTGTCTGACAGTTTTTTCTCGTATTTCACCTTAATTGAAAAAACAGCTTTTAAACTCAAACATAAAAACCTTCGCTTTTGATATTTAGGCATTTGTTCAAATTTTTGTCAACTAGGTGGTTTTTCATGTGCATTTTCAAAATTTGAAAAAGGAAAGGGCGGGGGAGGTTAAGTGAGAGTGAGACAGAGTGAGAGAGAGACAAAAAGAGATAGAAAGATGTGCACTCTCATCCCAACACAATCAGGTAATTAGCAGCTGCTGGACAGAACATTCACTGGACACCTAGTGCACCAAACAGCAACATCACCAAAGCTAAATTCCTATCTTGTTGCACCAGTCCCCAAGCAGTCAAGCACTTACACATACGCACATATACACCTGAACACCATATTTTGGACAAACGCTTTATAATAAAATGCTTGTGTCTGATGTTAGTGATTAGCCTGTCTGTGCATAAGGTGTCTAAAGGGCCACCACATCAGACAGAATTCTCCTGCCTCTGTTTTTGCTGCTGCTACTGAGCAATTGAGCAAAGCCTCATTTCAGCCTGAACAGGGCATCAAAATCAGAAGGATTATTTGCTTGAGCTAGTACCAGCATAGACAGCTAGATCTGGCCAACAGCTGGAAACACATGTCTGTCAACACAGAGGCACAAAGAGCTGAGGTAAGCTGAGGTAAGGAGAGCAGTGCACACATCCATGTGGGAAAGCCATTACCATCCTCACCGGTGGTAATTAACTCTGACTGTTATGAACAAGAGATAAGCACTCTAATGTAACTGATCCATAAGATGCTGCTGATTCATGTCATCTCCCTATTTCAGGAGGCTGTGATGATGCCCTCAAATCCTTCTTATGTAATAACGATTATGAATACCGGGGACGGGGGAGGAGTGTGTGCCCCAAGTAGCCATATTTCCTCTTATTCACTTTCACTACAGCAATTAACAGATTCCAGCTCTAGTCCAGAAGGGCCTCAGTTCAGCAGTCTCTGGCGATTTCTCTGCTTTAACACATCTGATTGAACCGTTTTAACATGCATCTTGAGTGATCCAATCATAAGTGGTCAGCAAGACATACAGCTGCTTCGCTTTTGCTGCATTTGTTGTTATTTAAAACTGTCCTGTGAGTTCTTGTTTGTTAAATGTACAGGCTGTTACCTGTGTTTAGAATGCATGGATTGCTAATGCAACTTCTAAACAAACGTGATAAAAACAAGATTTTCAGCTGCTTTGGTTTCTGCTGTGATGACGCTGTTGATTAAGGCAGTTGGGAAGCTTTTGGGATAGCCTAGCGTTTACACTGCAAACGTTATGTGGTCACAGACATCTCTAAGCACATTCAGAGGTGGTTTGAGAGACTGAATCACAATGAGCCTGAGACACATTGTAGCTTGTTCGCACCTGTAATTAGTGCTGTCCACTTCAGTAGGTGTGTCAGAGCAGGGAATTAACCACTCTATGCTGGACACTGGCCTTCCAGGAACAGAACTGGACACTTCAAATAAACACTTACTATGTATGAAAAACTGAAATAAGACAAATTATGATTGACAACTGACATTAAGGTTTTTCTTTTGGGGCAAGAAGGCCTGAGGTGTGGGGGCAATGAGGTAGCTGCCCTGTTGGGATTAGCGTAACTACAGCAGCAAGTGGTAGCAACACTATCCAAAGCTAACACTCCCTGCACACGGTCCCTCACACGCACAGCTCAGCTAATCAGCTTACTGTAGATCCCTCAGCGTGTGCTGTGTGACACATGTTGCAGGAGACTCCCCACAGAGGACCGTGGATAATAGAAGTATGCTAATTATTATAAGAAACCAATTACCATTACATTGTAACTGTTAGTTTGAAAATTGCACTGATGAAAACAAATACTGTACAATATTCTAATTAACACAATTTTGCCCTTATTCCAAATGCAGTTGGCAAGCCAAGATACAGTTGTGTACAAAAGCTTGGAAGAAATCCCTGGTCAAACTGTCCATTTTGTTGAATTGCTAAGTGGAAACACATACACATCCTCTACAGAGAACAAATGTTCATTCCCTGTGAATGATGTTTTTTTTCACTTAGAAAAATCAACATAAACATGACATTCGACCAAAGGTATTCAAACTTTTAAATATGACTGTATGTTTTGTCTCCAAAATTGACCTCTTAAGTTTTAAACTGGAGCAATAAGGTCAGTGTAGCTGTGAGGCTATGGGGAAAACTGTGGAAATTTGACTTTTGCCCAACTACTGCTTTGGTACTACATTAATCTGACAAATTTTTCACTAAGGGATAAAAAGGTGTCTAAAATTCAGTATCCACACATATTTCATCATTCTGCTTTAGGGCCCAGAGAACACTACATGCCATCCAGCTACACCCACTGATTTTCACACAAGCGGATGGGTCCAGTAAGGGCTTGACTGGGCCCTTCTATCTCTGTCTCTAGGGCTGTTTCTCTATGTTACCTGGGATATCTGCTCCTTCGGCTGAGAGGGCTGCTGCGCTCTTGCTCCTAGCTAGAGAGGCCTGGGTGGGGGTGAGGAGACGGCTGAGGACACCGCTGTCCATGGGACTGGTCAAGGAGCGACGTGCTATACACGCACACACAGCATGCCGACGCCCAAAAAACAGAGCATACAAAAAGAAAAAAAGAAGAGAGACAGAGGGTTTGAAGGACAAACACAAAAGTTGAGTGGTCATGGAGGGGAGGGGTGGAGGGGAGGGGAGTGACACAGGGCAACCAATAGATTTCAAAACAGTAAGGAAGAATCAACATGAGAACCAAAGAGTGATTGTGCTCAAGTCTTAAAGCACCGGATGGTGCTAATGGAGCCAAAGTGAGCTTCAGCTGGCTAGAGGGATGAAAGGGACAATAAAGATACACATGGAGGCAAGCACTCGTGGCAGAAACCAAATGGCAACCGTGCAAGAGCTCTCTGAGAGCCAGGCATGGGTCAAATGCTTAGCACTGATCTTTAGGTTAGCACGTTTGCATGCTCAAGTTAACCGATCCCTTCATGTTGACAGTACTACTATATCCATATACATTTAACCTAAGCCTGGTCTCTACTGCACAACTCTGATAAGCGCTGTTAGTGAGCTGACGAGAACAAAGCTTGATGATAATCTGTGGCAGAGCTGTTTGTGATGAACAAGAGAATATTGGTCTTACAGTAGAGACAAAGAGCTCTTGCAGTCATAAGATCAAGGAGTCATGTCCCTTGGGGCTGTTTGGAGCTACAGTTACAACCCAGGGAGGAAAAACAGAAAAATAAAGGTGAAAGCTGAGTGCAGTTGTTTTGAATGGTCTGTTTTTTCCCCCCCATTTCCTTTAGTACACGAAAACAGAGGGCCACTAGCTGCTTGCTATAATAGGCATGCTGTGGTTTGCTGGCTTTGGTGGTTTAGTGGCAGAGTTCTGGTCAGCTGGTATGAAACTGAACAGGGTTGAAGGTAATTAGTAGGGTTCTAATGATGTGGCTCTAGGATAGCCCTCTTAAATAAGGAGCTTTTCTCAGCAGGGTGACCGAAGAGGATAAGAAGATGTCCATTATCAATGAGAACATGCTCAGTGGGGAACACTACCAATTCATCACATGAATCAGACTTGGTCAAAAGCACAGAACAGCAAATGGATTATTACTAAGAATATCTTGTTCACTGGGTTTACAGAAGCTGGGAGTTTCTCCCCCTTAAGGCACATAGGAGTTGCTTCTTCTTTAGAGGGGATGGCACTGGTGCACAAGATGTCTCTCACCCACTCTTTCACACACACAGGCACAAACTGCAGATAACATCATTGAGGAGAGAAAACAACGTGCCGTTCACATAAACAAACACAACATTGTATTAGCAGACAAAAGCTCCATTCCTCCACCAATGACACGGGGAGAGATATTTCGAGAAGGAAGAAGAAACGAGTTATGGCATCAGCAGTAAGCATCCACTGTGTGACCAGTGCAGTAAGGTTCCGGGCTGCACAGAAAAAAAGGAAAGCAGAAGACAGCAGCAGGTATCCATATGGCCTTTCAAGAAAAAGGAGCATAAGAAGAGAGAGCTTGTTATTTTCTAGCTGGAAAAGGCTCGGATGCAGGAGAGAAATATGATAAGTATTAATAACATCAGCTTTATAGGAATGCGCAAAACAACAAGGACGATAAAAGGAGTGCCCTCCTTTGGTACACTGGAAAATGAAAGCAATGGAACCAATTCAATGCCATGTCATGTAGTGCATCAACCACAGATGCTGTGTTGTTTGCTCTGGGGGTTAGTGACAGTGACATCAAGTTTCAATCTTAACGAACACAAGCAGGGCAGGCAAGTTAATGCAGCGGATGCATATTTGTTATTACGGAGTGGCACACGTACACATACAAAAAGTCCACCACGGGACAAACCACCTGGATCACTGGGTGAGGCTTTCTCTGGTTTGGCATTAGGTGGGACTCTACTCCCTACTCGGGAGAGGGAAGAGCTCCGTTTCTTCAGGGTGGGGCCTAAAGACACATGGACAGGGCAGAGTCACAGCCTACCAAGGAACACGGTCTGGCGTCCTCCAAGCATATTCATTTGCGCCAGAACATCAGAAAATCAGTTAAGAAGTATGCAGTATGTTTCAGGAATGATAAATCTAAGGACGTCAGCTCCTCAAGCTTCTTATTACAATGCACAGGTTTGAAAGAGTTCAATAAGAACTATGAAATTCAATGTGGGAAATAAACTGGTTGCTGATGAGATGTAGCTTGATGCTGTGGTGCGTCGTCTAATATGAGCCCTGTTAACAATGACAGAGGCCTTTCTAGTAATATTCAATTACAATCTGCTTTATACTAGCCATTTTTGCTGCACAAAGAACACAGATAAATGTTAAATACAGCAATATGAGCTCAAGAAAAATAATAAGCTCCACCTTATGTTGGCAAGTGTCAGTTCTCATAAGTATCAGTGCTAGGCTTTTTTAGTTAAACCTAAAAAAGGTTAATTACAGCTCTCAATACATACATCAACAAAGTTCAATCTCCACCAAATCCTGAAACATTTAATGTGTTCTGGCTCCTGTTTAACTTGAATACAACTGCACATCACCAACGTTTTGAATCTAAAGCAGTTTGAGTAGGTGAGAGTGCCAAAGAAGCAGCAGTGTTGTCATAGGGACCAGTGAGGGAGGGGGGCTCAGCACCTGTCTGTTCCACCTGAGTCTGCTTATACGCTTCCTTAGAGGCCTGAGGGGCATTGCTAGGCAACCGGTTCAAAGAAGAACTCCTCCGCTTAGCACCTATGAGACAAAAGAGAGCTCACAACCTGAAACAGAGACCTTAAAATAGGCAAGACTGCATTTAAATGTCTTTGTTCAACCAAAAGATCAAAGTATTTTACCTCTGCTAGTATAACAAATTAATTTTATAAAGAATTTCACTTTTCCAGCATTACAATTACCATCTAAACATATTTGTAAGCTTTTCCATTAAATTAAGAAGTAGTTTAATAATTGAAGGCAGTCACAAGTATGTAGAGTTTAAATTACATATTTTAGCCAAAGTACCAAAGAACCAAAGAAAGGGAAATATTTTGTTCTCCGAGGTATTATGATTTAGGTGGTGCTTTTTGAAAACCAAAGTTCAATACTGAGCTCGCTTTAGAATGAATTTAGTGTTCTGAGAGGAAGGAAACAAAACGATGAACCCAACACAAACAGTGGGTGAAATCAGCTGAGCCACTGTTGAATGATCGCTTTAGAGGAAATTAAGCTGTGGAGAAAAACAGCACTAGCACACAAATCCCTGGCACACCCATTCTTGCTGTGGTGGGGCAAAAAATAGTTAATATCCCACTCATATCATTATTGAAATCATCAAGTTTAAAATAACATTGTAAGAGAGCCATAGTGAGACAGAGGACACATAATACATGGCTTTCCTTAGTGATTAGGTTCCAGGCAGATCACATTTAAAAGAGTCTGGTAATACAATCTGATTCAGATATATGCAGGATTGGCAATCGCAAAGGTTGCTTTACCAGGCATTTCTGGTTGTCAGTGAATAATATAGAGAACGCCGCACATCCTGGATGAAGGGGAGAGAGGAGGTGAACAAACAATAACAGGGTGTGGGTAGGGTGTGTGAGGTATGGGTGGGGCAAGTGACGAACATGAAAAGAGGGACACTTACTTTTGTCTGGAGAGTTCAGGAGGGTGGCGGAGGAGGAAGAGAGGCGCTTGCTGATGGCCGAATCGGCCTGCTGCTTCAGGTTTGTGGTGGAAGTGGAACGCTTGTCTACAGGGAATGTCGACATACACACAAACCGGGGTAATGGAGTTAGAGGATTACACGCTACACAGGATCTTACTGGTGGGATGGGATGGGGTGCTAAGTTATAGTTCTAAAACTAAAAAATGTCTAAGACAGGTTAGGACACCAGAAGCACGCTGTAGATTTGACTGAGATGGAATATTGTGGGAATTTATAATAATAATAATAAAGTATATTGAGATGTACTCATTTCCAAACACAACAAACTGACTTCAGCTGAAGAGCAAGCAATATGACAAAAAGAAGAGCTGGAAGATATTTGTTTAGATCACAAGCAGCCCTTGTAGCTGTAGAATGCTACAGTTCAGAGCATCCTGAAGAGCAATAAAAACTCAATGCATTACTCTCAGTGTTACTTTTAGTCTTATGCTGTGTTTACATGTTGGTGGAGAGAAAAACGTTGTTCCAGGCCACATAGCGATACAAGACCAATGAAGGCATGCAGCCGTGGAAACCTAGCCAGCATCACAAATGAAAATGGAAGATTATCAGAGGATAGTTCACCAGTGTTGATAGTTTATTTAAATGTTGAAAAAAACAGAAGAATTCTGTACGCTTAACTTTTTGTCGTATAATACTGGTGTGCCTGGAATTCAACAATGAGACATTTGATGTCTATGGCTCCTACAGGGTATGGGAGAGAAAAATATAAATAAAAATAAAAAATTATTTCACTGCTGCAGCCAAAGATGAAAAATGGGAAAAGTAAACTCTCGATGGAATGTCCCACGGACCGCCTCAGTATGCTGCTGTTGCCGTAAGCAGAACTTTGTCGTTGCTCCATTAAAAACATGAGCATATCTGGGTTGCTGTCGCCCCTCTAATGTCATAATGTAAACACAGCATTAGAGCTCCAGTAAGATGCATCGCTCTTGAAACTAGAATGTTAAATGCCAAACCAAAGCCAATCCAATTCAGCAGTGTTAGTTAGCTAGATCTGAAAAAAAAAGATGAAAAACAAAGACTATTCAGGGTCATGGTCAACATGAGCATGCAAACAGGCAAAAGGTGTTTCTTTTTTTTCCTTGTAGGGACAGACCAAGTGACCTCTCTTCTTGGAAAAAACTTTACCTTCAGTGAGTATAACAGGAGAAAAAAGGAATGAGTGAGAGATAAAGGGACACCGTCCGTGAACTTCCTCTTGTGAGCACAAGGCACACAGATCCAGCCACATAGTAGTGAGTGCAAGAGCAAAGGGGGAGAGGAGACAGTGCCAGTTTGTACCAAGCTGTGCCACTATGGGCAAGCAAGCAAATATTGACCACCTTGTGGCACCTGGCTCCTGGGTGGCTTGGAGACTGGTGAGGCAGGAGAGATTACTACAGTGATTGGGGAAGAGGCAGGGCCGCTGTCACTCTCGCCTGTGGGAGGGGCAGGAACAGACAGGTTGCTATGGGATATGGATACTCTCCGCAGGGAGCAAGAGAGATGGAAAAGCACAGCGGAGATCATCAGGGAGTTGTCTCATCTCCAGCAACATTACAGAAGTCAAACTAAACCAACATGATAAAGCAGTATATATTACTTTGTATATATATATATATATATATATATACACACACACACACACACACACACACACACACATATATACATACATACATACACACACACACACTCACTCTAGAGAACAGAAATTAACTCATACAGTATTTTGTACAATTCAGACGATAACAATATTACAATATCAAATAAAAGAAAAAAATATAATAGTAACTAATGAGAAAAAAACACTGCAAAAATAATAATTATTGTTATTACTAGTACTATTATTGCCACTGTTGCCATTATTTTCTCCTGCAGCCTCTTCTCATGTTTGATTTTCTCTCTTCATTTATTCTCAACTCCATTTTGCACCTTATATTTGGCGTCTAAAATACTGTTTCACGGTTTGCTTTATCTAACAAAGACAGCTTACTATTCCGGACTTGTTATGTTTATCACATTAAGCTTACGCCGAGCCTGATGGGTTTTACGAGCTAATTTGTTCTTCTTTGTTGTGCTTAACAGTTTCCTGGTCCACAAGGCTTGAAACAACTGCCCAATCAGAATACTGTCCAGGGTGAACAAATGTCCAGTGCACTTTTAAGAATTACATTTTCATTTAAGCAAAGTGACAGGCTCAATCGTTTATTGGTTTTGTAAAAGTATATCTATACAACTTTCTTGCTGTTCTGCTCAGCAGCACAAACGCTGTGTGAATGACCAGTGTTTATGATGCTTCATGCACGTGGCATGCAACCAACAACACACTCGCTTTGTGCTTGCGCCCACGTAAACCTATACTGATTAACGTATGAGCATTTTGGTGAGTTTATAAGAGTTATTTAAGCTGTTTATGCACGTTTAGTTTGTCTCAGGGGCGGTGCTGTTAGTGCGTGACTGTGTCCGGGCTTATCACTGTATCCACAGTACAGCCTCACATCATGAGAGAACGTTCTACCGGTATACATATCAATCATATTTTCAATTATTCAGACCATAACAACATGACAAAACAATATTAAAAAGGGGGAAAAAAATGATACATACATACATACATATCCATCATAGACAAAACAACCTAAAGTGATTTCAGGTTATTCAAAGCTCTTTACAGGAGATATCATACCTCATGGTTGGGGATTAAAAATGATGGTGATTCATAATGTATTTTACAGTACTGTGCAAAAGTCAGATGACACATCCATTTATTTAATTTGCAGTCAAAGCATATAATTTATGCATTTTTTTAGTGCCAGGAAAAAAATTTCATTGAATGCCAAGAGTAATACCAGTTCTATCAAAAACCAAAACTTTATGCACTATGGGTGTGAAAGTATGTGCAGCTGTTAAACAAGTTACACCGAAACTGGACATCTGAGATGTGAAGTAAGGTTTTATGGGCTTATGGGTCTAAATTTGTAAATGGAATTACCTGGATCATGACAAGCAAAAAAAGGCAAAGCTATAAGCTATAACAAAGGTCTAGACAGACTAAATATTTGAAAAATGTGTTATTATATTCAGTTGCTGAGACTTTTTTTTACGTACAAGTTTTTTACCTGATGCTGAACAATAATTTGTCCTTAATGTTTTACCTGGAAATTAATTACATGAAAGGGCGGTCTCTGACTTTTGCAAACTACTGTATACAATTACATCTGCTATCTGTGAAAAGACAGTATTAGAAGGAGGAAGTCTAAAATGAAAGCAGATTAAGAAATCACAAGAAACATGGCTGTACTGCACATACCATTTTTCTGGTCTGAGTCAGTGAGGCCTCCCCACGACCACCTCTTCTGTCTCTGCTCCAGTCTCTGACTTCGCTCCATAGTGCGCCGCATCACTGCCTCATAGTGCTCCTACACACACACAGACCAAATTATTATTGCATTGTGTAGGGATAATGCTTATGATTTTATCTGGAACAATAGCCAACAAAACTTCCATCGCCAGCATATAACAGTAAACACAAATTACGGAACACCATACGCTACCACATATCTAAACTGCGTCAAACAAACAATTCAGCATTACAAACGTTTGAAAATCCACAGAGGATTTTAAAAGAAGTTGAAGACTATATAGGTTCAAAGTTTTCTTTGTGTATAGGATTACATAGGCCTAAGTGCTGTGGCGTTTACATACAATGCCTTTAGCTTCAGCTTGATGTACAGTACTCTCTCTAACTCAGAACTAAAAAAAGAACTCCCTGTCTCCATCCCCATAAGTCCTCCAAAAGAAATTCATTATTAGTGCTTGCACTTATTCATCCGCAGGAAGGGTTGATTAAACAGCAATAAAACTGGAATAATAGGATGGAAGGGTATACAGCAAGAGAAAGTGAGAGACAGATAGAAAGACAGAGGAAAAACAGGTACAGACAAAGAACTAACACACCTTCTCTTCCTCTTGCTTCTGTTTCCTCTTCTCCTCAACAGCGGCTCTCCTTTGCTCCTCTTTCCTGCGCTGCTCCTCCAGTTTTCTCTGTCTTTCCTCCATCTGCCTTTCTACCTGCATCTTGGCCTTGCGCTCCCGCTCTATGATCTGAGACTCACGCACCGCTTTAAGAAACACAGAGCATGTTTGTTTAAACCTGTGTGTTTCTGAGCATTATAGTCTAGATCAGTGGTTCCCAACCATGGTCCTACAGTACTTCCTGCCCTGCACATTTTTGTGTTTCCCCTGCTCCCAACACACCTGATCCAACCAAGGAGCACAATCCTTTCCTGAGAAGAAACAGGACATTACAAACAAAACATTACAAAACAAAACATTAATATGTGTAGGGCAGGGGATACTCCAGGACCATGGTTGGCAACCTGTGGTCTAGATAGAGTACTTTATGTCTAAACAGCAGTGACTGCAGGCACGTCAGTAACTCAGCATATTTAGTGTACTGACTGAAGTACAAATGGGGCTTAATATGTGTTTACTCTAGTACATAACTCACCTTGCTGCTTCTCTTGCTCCTCTCTTCTCTCTTTGGCTACTCGAAGTTTGTCATCTATCCTAAGCGCTGCTCCATCAATGACTAAGAAATGCAAAACATAATTTAAATCCCAGATTTCTTCAGTACTCAGTTCAATATCATCATCAGCCTTCCCCTTAGCAGAGCTCTGCGACTGATAGCAATGGATATCAGACCCACACTACACAGACAATCCCCTCACATGGTTTCACATATGGCTGATATTTCAGATTCAATTATGAGCTCAGGTAACCTCATGCAGCATTTACACTGAGTCATCGCACGGGGTGTGTGGTTCGTCAGCAAAGTGCAGTAATGCCATTACTGTCAATAGATGTGTTTATGTGACAACAGCGACATTAATGCTAATGTTCCAACCAGTGTTAGGACTGTATAAAGGCAGGCAGAATGGTCTTAACCACATTATACATCATGGTAACACATATATAGCGACTAGAGAGACAAAGATCAAAATACAAAACACACCGAGCCATAGGCACAGATTTAGATAAACGCATAATTATATAATTATAAAGTGAGCAGTTCTTAAATCTGCTTGGCTGAGCCAAGCTTGAAGCTATTCTTACACATAACCCTCATTAAATGAATTCTGTATAAATGCAAGTTATTAAAAACCATGTTGCCCGTCATCTATAACCTGCTGGCTGGAAGATTGTTTATTTCAATTATTATTAATAACAAGTTACTTATTCAACATTGGCATATTTTATCATTGTTTCATAAAAGCAATAAGCTACTTGAGACTATGTGAGTTTTTTACCCCTTAAAAGGGCTGAACGATAAATCTTTTTTTCACCAAAATCGCAATTTCAAATATATTTGAAATATTGCAATATTTAATCGGAAACAGCTAGAATCTTAATTACATCCTACATTATGTTAAAGTTGTCTTAAGATTTAAGTGTAGAAATTCCAGCTTGTAAACTAGCAGTCTGCCACACTTCTGCCTCAAGCCTGAAAAACGGATGCACTGGTTTTCTTGGTCAAAAAAAAGCTTGGAGCTTAATTTAGAGAAAATAACTGAAATGGCAATATTGGCAGGAAAAACTGCAATTAGATATTTTTCACAAATGGTTCAGCCCTACCCATTTGCCAGGGTAAAATGACCCTGGTAAATGGTTAACGCATGGTCTTCTGACATTTGACATAAAAGAAGATACCTGGTTTAGCATGGCTCTTTGTAGAAGTAGCTGTAGTTGTCGGCGCTGGGCTGTTCCCAGCCTGGACGCGCCGTTCCTCAGCCTGCGCCTGTGCTGCTGCAGCTAAAAATGCGATAAGACAACATGCACAAACCTCAGCAATGAGTAGAACCAAGACAAAATGAAAAGGAATTGGGAGAAACAAGCTTAACATGTCTGGAGTGCACTGCTTTCACGCACGAGAATGAAAGGAATGCTTCAGTGGAATCATATGGAATTACCTCCTAGTACAAAGTCATTATTAAGTCTTGCCTACTTGTGGCCAAGCAGTCAAGTTTGGTCAGCTTTAAGTCTTGCACAGCATTAGGTAAAAAAGGGTAGGTGTATACACAGTCCTCTAAACATGAGATTAGAAACTGAATGGCTTGCAATAGCATCCTTGTATCATGGGTGAACACCCAGCTCCTCTGAAGGGACGCTGCAGAAATGCCTCGCTGCAGGCTTGAGTGGAGGAAGGAAGCAAATGGAGAAGACGTAATCGACAAGTCTGCATGTCCTGCTTATAGCTCTTTTCCACCCAGCCGCATGTGTTTGTCAGAGTAGGTAGGCCAAGGATATATGGGGAAAAATAATCATACTTATGTGCATATAGTTTCATTTGCGAAAAATGTGGTGGGTGACCACTAAATCAGACATGATGATTTATGAAGAGATCACTGACACTCGTGTGTTCATGAAATGATCACCACTTCGTCATGTTGTGACATCTCTAGTGTGACTGGTGATAGACATATAAAGAATTAAGTGTAATACTCATGACAAATGAGACGGTAAATACTCCCTAGGGTCTATAAACAGTCTCCCATTTCAAGCATCATAGCAATAAACCCGGCACTACATGAGGCCTCATTTTATTGACCACCGGATGAGAAGACCTGCACTCAAACTACAGATGTAAATTAGATACAATGCACTGGATACTTCTCTGAAATTCAGCTATTTAGCAATATTTCACATATGAAATTATTCACTTAATGAAATTTAGTACCTGAACGATGCTAACAAAAACGCTACTGTTAACACCGCTTTTTTTTAAACACTTTGCTTACTTAAACAAACCACAAACCTCCTTGGAACGCACCTTAACAGATTAACATAGGTTTATTCCAGGGATGGCCACCTCCAGTCCTGGGGAGTTTATTTTCAAAATACCTGGCTTTAGTATTCACATGCTCCTGAAGGACTTAAGATGAATCAGGTATGCTGGATTTGGAACTAAACTCTGCATGATGGTAGATCTGCAGGATTCGATTGGCATCCTAGGCCTACATTTTCTGCACGTATAGCAACCGCTCTTGCTAAACACTAGTAAAATCTAACTAAATTAATACAACCAAAGCATTACATTGACAAGTCAGACATTTTTAATCCTACCACTCTAAAAAAAAAAAGCACTGTCATCTATTTAATTTGCATAATCCATTATTCCATTGCATAATCCATTAAGTTCTCAAGTAGTCATGCAGTTAAATAGTGCTGATTAATTGCAGTCTACTAAAGAAATGTACAGAACAAAAGATATTCAACTGTTTTATCCCAGAACTTACAATGTATTTTTCCTACATCTCACAGAGTTCCTTTCTGCTACTTTGGGCTGGGGGAGTCATGGCTATGCCTGAACTACATGAACATGGTGACGGCTCCTCCTGCAAGCCAGTCGTTGTTATTTTGGTAAGGAGGTATAATTTCTGCAGAATTAACAAACATCTTTACCACAAGTCAACATGGCTGTCTTGTGCTGGAAACAGAGCCAATCCATCACACACCAATGAAAGAGTTTAAAAGACTTGATTGAACAAAATTGTTTAGCTGCTTTTAATAGCTGCCAGTTGCACTGTGTGCTAAATATGGGAAATAAATCCCAGAAGACTGATCTATGAGTGTAGATTTTTCTTTATTTGATTCTTAAATGCTTTCAATTACAAGAACTTTGACAAAAACAGAGAGTTTCCTTTTTGCTTCTGCATACTGAGCAGGCAAGAAGTGTATTCAGACCTGTAGTGGAGAAGTCCTTGGGCACTGTTCCCCCACTTGATAACTGACATGAACAGTGAATGAGTTACATGCCTCATTCTACTGGAAATCTTCAAGGTTTCTATAAAAACGAACAGGCTAGTTGCTTATTTGGCCTGTAACTGCAGTTATCTCGTCATCTGCATTATCCTGTGGCCCCTACAAGTTTACAAACCCCCAAGGGAACACTGCCAAGAGCAGACGTTGCTGAGTGTGGAGAGGTCAGGGTCTGGCGTGTGGCATGTTTCTCACTTTTTGTGCTGAGTGGCAAGAGGAGAAACTGTAAAGCTCAAGCACAGCAGAAAAAACGTAGGGGAAGGGAAGGCTGCACCGGAAAACTGACAACAATAAAACAAAGGGGAGGTTATCGGCTATGGAAACTACCAGGACCAGAAGCATTTCCACACAGAGTTTTAAAACTTTGGACACACATAATAAAGTAAGTGAGAAAAGACCAAAACTACTTTGTTAAGTGATTACTACTGAAAGGGAGCTCACACGTAAATCAGGAATGCTGACAGGTTTAGGTCAGCAGCCTTAAACTATACATAACATGTATATATTACCTATAATATAATATTACCTATATGACATGCTGGACAGCCCAATGGCTGGACCCAAGACTAGTTCAAAACAGAGTAGTGAGTTTCCCTACAAATCTTATGCATTTTAACTGTCACAGACAGCGCTCAAGTCATCTTAATTCTACAATGTCTTTGAGAAGCTCATCCTCAAATATAAAGTGACTGAAACTAGACACAGATCAAACTATGGAAGAAAAGGGAAACTGACTTCTTATCCTGCTGAGTAAAGTATAGCAAAAAACCTGGGATGAGAAGCAGTAAAGGCTATTTGTGAAGGATGTTATGTCTGAGCCCTTAAAATGAGTGCCAGCCATTCATCCTCGGGTTTGATGAAAGGAGGGGCAAAGGAACATCCTAAGATGGCGGTGCTGAGATTATAAAACATGTCTCAACAGCTTCAGCGGTGGAGGAAAAAAAAGCCCTATCTGATTCAAACCACCGACCTCAGGGCAGGTGGGACAGATGATGAAGCCTCACAACAAGGCTGACTACACAGTTCATGCATTATACTGCAAAGACCAAACTCACAAATTTGGCCTTTGCAATTAGTTACTTGCTAAAAACGACATTTAGTATTTGTACTTTGCTTTATAAACCCTGAAACCACAAACCTCCGTGGAATGCACCTTAAATGAATAGGTTCACCAGGAAACAGCAAGTGAATCCCAGAAGTTTTCATTGACTACGATGTGTACAGATCTGAAAGATTCATTGTTTTTTTGCAATTTGAATGCAATCTGCAATTTGCAATTTGAGTGCAATTTAACTTTCAGTCTACACCATCAACAATACTGTCTTAACAAGTTTTAAATGGGGGAATGAAACGGAACCCAGAGCCGGTGAACCACCAAAGGTTGAGTCAGACCAATCAGAGGCAACCAAACACCCATGTGCTGTGCAGAAGACCAATGAAACTGGCAGTCAAGGTGCACCAAGTTCAGTGTTTATGCCTCAAGCCAGAAAAAGTGGCTATGCTGGTCTTCTTGGCCAAAAACAGGCTAGGATTTCACTTACACAAAATGTTTGCAATTTAAATCATAGTCACAATACCAGTCAGAAAAACTGCAATTAGATATTTTCCCCCTGTGTGAGGGCAACATGGGTGTAATAACACAAATATTTTCAGGTTTGATACATTTTTTTAATGACTGAGATCAAAAATGGATTTTCAACATTTTTTGTGTGTTATAGTTTTCTTAGTTGCTTCAACACTTTTGCCAATTTAGAAGTCACATTTTCAAAAACTCAACACACAATACTAAACACAAATTTGCTGGTCAAAACAGTACATTTTCTTTGCACAATCGTCAAAACCCCCACAAAACACTAAACACATGCCACAAAAGCAAACTTATCTTTCTGACACTACACTTTACAATCAGTAAGTTCAGAGAATAAATTCCTTCAATCTATTCAGCTTTCATTAGACCTCTAAGTTCATGCTCTTCTATTTGTTGGTAATTTACTGCAAACAGATTTAAAATGTGCTGAATTTTAATAACACTACATAGAGGAATCTATTCTTGTCTACTAGGTAGTTTTACCAGAGATATATTTCAGTGCAAATATATTGCACAACCCCCGATCAAGCAAAAAAGATTTATTCTAAAATATTCAGAAACAATTTTCCTGCTTGTTTCTTTTTTCCATACTATTGAAAGGCAACACTGTACCAAAAGATGATTTCAGTCCCCAAGCCAGAGTATTTTTCAGCAGTATGGCTGTTGCAGAGGGTCCCAAACCAAAGGCCTTGGCATTAATACCATACTACACTGAAATTACCAGTAAAATTTGGGCAACAATTATAGATCAACAGGTTGTCAGTCATGGCATGTCCATTACAGAAGGTGCAAGAAGGTCAAACCCAGTCTTCTTCACAAATGTCCGATGTGGCTGCACATATTCATTCTACAGAACAGAAACACACATGATCAATTGTTTGAAGACTGAGCAATTGATTAAACAAGTGGAATCAGGTTTGCTCCTGCTTGTTTGGAATGAAAACTTGCAGCCACACCGGCCATTTGGGGATAAGACTGGACAATCCTTGGGCTAACCGAAATCTATCCTGACACGCTGTATCATCCATTATATAGCTTTTTTTTTGATGTCTGTCACTATATAAACAGTCTTCACACAATAGCAGATTTATCTATTATAAATCCCTCTGCGGACAATTACCCATTTCCAACTACCTGTTTATCATTACTGTTTTTCTCACCTTTTTCATGAGTGTGGGGAAAAAACAAAAAAGCAGAAACAAATGTTACTGAATTTCTCAGCCGATTATGAGAAGGGTGTGAAGTGCCTTGAAATAATGATCACAATATCTGGTATAATCCATTTTTTTTAAACAATCTCAATAGTTAAGTGTGTCATTATATAAATCAGATTACCTACTCCTGAATCTGATTAATACTTGTCTACAGCCTCCTTTCTTCACACTTACAGTCAGCAGCTGAGTTA